GATACTTATATATATATATATATATATATATCTCAATATACGTATAAAATCAATTTTCTAACCTCCTATAATAGTCTTTAAATATATTAATATTTACACAGTAGTGCATATGACTTCTCTATTATATTTACCCAATTAGAAATACCCCAACAAATTTACTTACTTTAATTCCACTACTCTTCCATTCATTCCTTGAGCTCTGTGCTTGTGTTTTGGACTATGATCTGGTTTAAAATAATCACTCTTCAACATAATTGGAGATTGTCGAGCAGGTTGCCGAGGCGTAATGGCTAATTTAGTGCGGTAGGCTATGTTAAGGGTGATTGTGCCTACTGGTGTACCCACTTGACCAATTCTAGCTTCCTGGTATCCTTCACCAAGTTGACTGTTCTAAGTTAACAAAAAGTAAGTAATTAATGCACACAGCACAAATCATACTTCTTCATTGATATATGCTATTGCAATCACCAATAATTATAAAATAATAATAATAATAAAATTGGAAAATACCTTTCAATTTGTATAAAGTAAGCAAATATTTGAAGAAGGTTACACTATCAACATGTGGGTAAAATTTCATCAATTTTCATTCAAACTTACATCTTCAACTCTTTTAGCATGGAATAACTTTGTATTTACGCATTCATCTGCTTATCAAATAATGTTCATCATTGTTTTGCTATATAATCAATGAGCCATTAACCAAAAAAAAAAAAAAATTGTGCTGAAAAGGAATAATTCCCAATAGGCTATTATTCAGCTTTCTGCACATTTTTACCACTAATAGTAATAAACTGATTAGATTATATAATATCAGCATAAAAAGACATATAAAAGAAACTAAAGTAATTCTACTTCATCATGCTCTCTTACTATTGATATTTACCAACACACAAGATTTTAGCATTAATATAGCAAATATTGTTCATAAACATTAGCATGGACTTATGAAAAGGTACATGTGAATGTCCCTCACATTCTACGGTATTTTTTATAAACATTGTCACATCTCTGCAGTTACAAAACTTACAACATAACTGATTTCATTAATTCAAATACATCCAATTGAAATATACCACAAAACAAGCTCTATATTCTTTTCTATAATACATAAACTACAATAGTTAAATATTAAAATCATATAAAATTAGACTTAATTGAATACTCAAATGTCTATCAAGTTTAAAACTAATGAAACCTTTAAATTTAAAAGAAAAAAAAATAAAAATCCCATGCAGGTTTTAAGGTATATGCTGGGATTTTAAAATAATCATGACATTAACATAAATGTTTGCCAAAACATGTAGTTTTTGGATACAAAATGATACTTACATAAAGTAAAGTGAATACAGCATAAAATCATGTGGTAACTTAAACGTGCAACTACTTGATCTTTCCCTTCATACGTCAATTATTAGACACACGCTTAAACCTCTACTGATATTAAATGACATCATGGATGGCTTAAAAAAAACTTCTGCCTACATACAGCATACACATGGACATGTACATGCTTATCACACCACTATTTTTATCACATCACATAATACACTGTAGGTCAGGAAAGGATTTTTTGAAAGCTGTACTTTATTCTCAGAGTCAAATTTACCAAACATCCCTCTTTCAAATAAATTCATGTAACTAGTATTATAAATTAATGACATTTCAGTATATAATATTATAGATCAATATGCTATACTTCTTTTTCAAAAACAAGTCCTTCAGGTCACAAGTCTTATTTGACTACAATCACACCTTATTGTATATTTTAGTCACCAAGATACATGCACATACGTGTTGCTTCAGGAAATCTCTACTTTCACTCAGATAAGATTTTATGTTTAACCTGGAAGTCAATCCAAATAGAGGTAGCACTTATTCCTTCATGAATACGTAGCTAAAGAGACTGATAGATTAAAAAAAAAGTCATAAATTTTGAATTTACAGTTGTTACAGCTTTTACATAGAAGGAAAGGTCAAAAGTCGGCACCAATATCTCTTTCCAAATAAATGTATACCCTAAATTACATGTAATAAACATTATTTTCAATAAAAACTTCATATACGAGATTAACTAACCACAAAGCTCTAAAGCAGTTAGTATATTGATAAAATACATGTATATGTGCAGTAACCCAAATTTAAATTATTTTGTAGAAACTAACTTCATGTTACACCTGTACATGAAAATTATACAGAGCCAAAATTATCATGAAAAAATACTTTTCTGTTGTTTCTTGTTGCTTATGTATATCTTGCATGTCATTAAAAACACTTATATAAACATACTTTCTTATTTTTTAATCCTTGGATTTATGTATGAACATATATTATCAGTGAGCAAAACAAAAAAATGATAATATGCTCAAATATATAAATAATTTATCTTCATGGGCATTTAGTGGAATTTGCTAAGCAATTAATCATCGGGCTTGTTAATTGATTACATTCCACTATTGTATTACTGACACATGATATGGCAATTATTAAACATCAGTAATTATAACTATCTAAAAATAGGCAAAAACTTTTTGTCACAAATTTGAACAAAAATCTAAACATTTGCTAATGTCAAGACGACCAACTTATAGCCATTTTGTTTTGTTTTTAAGATATACAGTGATCCTCAATTTATCTGTTTGAATCAAATAAACTGATAATCAAATAATAAAAGCATGTTTTACTATCACTGATAACAGTAATAGTTTTTATTTAAAAAATATCATGATTGCAATTAGATATCCTTAAGTGACAGTTAGCCAATTTATTTATGTACATTGTTTGGTTGTTTGTTTGTTTTTGAATTTAACATCACATTAACACCCCATGGCTGAAAGGGCGAGCATGTTTGGTGGGACGGGGAATCGAACCCACGACCTGTAGATTGCAAGTCGAGCACCCTTACCACCTGGCCATGCCAGGCCACATTGTTTGAACCATTAACAAATAAGTAATAAGTAAGGATTTGAGACATCAGAATATTTTGCAGCAAGTTTGGTGGCAACAGTAATCAAGCCCAAGACCATAGAACTACAAGGAAACCCCTTAATAACTAGGCCATGCTAGCCCAAGGTCGAACAAACTTAAATTGATAATTATAATGCTAAAAATTGGATTTCAGTAACAATGGTGGGCAGAGCATGGATAGCCAACTGTGCATCATTGTGCTTAACAACAAACATAATGGCAATACATAGATCTTTAGATTTGTTGAAATAATCGAAATAGTAATCAGAAGTTAACACTTTCCTTACCTGAAAATGTATTTTTGATAGATATTTACCTCTCTGTACACGGTAGCCATTCTTTGCACATCTGCCTTTGATACTTTGTGCATGTCACTAGCTTTGAGCTATCTTCCACCTAAGACATATCTTATAATGTTAACTGTACTAGTATATGATATCATCATGCAACAACAGCCCTCCATCAATAGGAAGATGATACATCATTTATGCACAGTAGAGCCCCCTTAACACTTGCACTCAAAATCAACTACATTCTTCAATAAGGCAAAAATAATGTGCACCAGTAGTAGAAGAAAGATGGAAAGATGTGAAGAGAGGTAAGTATCTATTGTAAATACATTTTCATGTAAGGGAAATGTTAAACTTCCAAAATGATAGGCTTACCTCTCTCGCACAGTAGCTAGAAACCCACATTGATGTAGTGGAGGGCCAAGTGGAATGGTAAAAACCTAAATGAGGTACTTTTGGAAAAGGCAAATGAATAAGAATGCCTGTGAAATGACACACTATAGTGAAGGCATGCAAGGTATACTCTTAGCCCAGATAGAAATATGAAAGGAGGAAGGCAAAATGAGCCCATGTGTTGCAGGGATGGGCGGAAAAAGACATTACCATCTAAGCATTTGCATACAAGTCAGTTGGACATTAGATTTAGTGTGTCTAGGGCAATGATCATACTGTACAGTTCAGTATGTGTTCTATTGTACAACAGACTCACTTTACATACTGAAATGGGAATTAAGTCCCTTCCCGTCGTGTCAGGATAACAATTTACCCCATCCAGTTGGCCAAACCACCAGAAACTTGGCATATTATATAATAAGGGGTGACCTGCACTATACTGACATAGACAATCCTGCCCTACTTCTTTCCTCATTGTGCCACCCAATCGGATTCTCTCTGGAAGGATTGCACAACCAGTAAGGAACTGGTAGTGGCAAGGATGCTTCACTCGAGGACTGGGGTGAGGGGATAAGTTGTGTTGGGGAGACACCGGAGAAGTGTACGCCAGATCCAATCAGATCAAACCACTGCAAAGGTCTTTTACTGAAGAAAGTGCAATGTGTTACCATGAAACCTAATTTGAAAAGCCAGTGAGCATAATACAGAGAAGTGGGCAGACACTTCCCCTGGTGCTGGCTTTTTTCATGATGATCTAGGGAATAGACATAGTCTGGATCGGACAAAATTCAGAGAAAAATATACAATAAGGATACCTCAAGTACTCTTGTGGACACCTTATCTCACAGTATGCTTATACGAAACCAGGGGGATGGTATGAGTACTTTCTATTATCCTGGCTCAATGCAGATTTTGGAAAATAAATATACTCTACGAGGCACCACCAGATATCTGGAGGGATACTTTAAACAAAGGCCATAAAAAAAAAGGGAAACATACTCACCTGTCTAGACTGTAGAATGGCAAACATAGGAAGGCAATAACTTTCAGGAGACAAGATAGCCAAATGGTGAGGATAGTGGGCAATGAAGATGTGTGGGGTAGTCCACATGCCTGTCTGAAGGATTTCATCTAGCAGCCATCAGAAATAAGCAGCAAGAAAATAAATAAGGTGAAAAATATGATGGGGGTGAAATGTGGAACAGTCAGTGACCAACAACATCAAACAATGAGTAAATCAAAAACAGAAGTTGACAGCTCCAACCTACCTAGGAATAGGAGGAGAGATGTCCATGGAGAAAGAGGAATCCCAGAGAATAGAGAGACAGTGAGGAGAGCCTAGAAAGTGTGAGGTACAAGATAATTAGCAACAAATGGCACAAACAGGGCACAATAGCTTGTCCTGGTCCGATCAATCATAGAGGTGGGGAATAGAAGGAAGGATCACCTTTCTGATTGGACAAAGTCTTAGAGAGGAAAGACTGGTCAGGATAAAGAACAATATAAGAGTGATGGAAAAAGAGTACAAGAAGAATTGATAGTGTAAATATCTGAACAATGGCAACCACACATGAGAAGTAAAAGAAAATAGGTCTTGAGTGAGAAAGGTGGTATAAGGTGGAAGATACCAATGTCTTGAAAGGTTCATGAGTAACAGCAAACAGAACTGTAATAAGGTCCCAGTCAGGCATGGGAGTGGAGTGAGGAGGTCTATGGAGAAGGAAGGAATGGAACGAGGTG